TCTTAACAGATTCCTTGAAGGACTTTAGTTCTAGTCAATATTGAACCTTGAACTCATCTTTAAAGGAGCTAAACTCTTGCTCTGATGGATCCTGTGTGTTCATGAGTCTCACCTTGAAGGACCATGAACACGCTGTTACTTCGCCTCACTTTGAAGCCTCAGAGTCTCACCCTCAAGGACTCTGAGCCTGACTTTGAGGAACTTGGATTCTCACCTAAGGATGTCGTAGGATAATGTTTAGGAGAAATAGATAGAGAAGAAAGAATTAAGAGGAGGAATGGAAAACGGAATCAAGACTTAAGTTAAGATATAAAATGATAATGACGCTCAGATTAAGATAAAACTTCTGCTAAAGTCATGAATTATTTTATATACTTGCCTTGGCAGGTTAGTTCACTGAGGTGGGCCACTTACTGTACACCTTTACACCAATTAGTGTTCAACTATACACCTGATGATAGTTTACCTGGATGATTAATAGAAGTGGTCAAGCTTGTAAGAAAAATTAACTCAAGCGTTCTAACATACACAGTTTCTTTGACGTGAAAAATACGAAATAAACTACTAATATGCGGAAGCCAAGTTGAACCGAAAAGAATAGGTCACGTTCAGAAAAGTCAAGAAATTAGCGAATTGAGATATTTAAATGTGTAATTAAATGAGACGAAACGAAGAAGTGACATGAAACGTAAATAAAGAAGTGATTTAGGAGGAACAAGGAGAGAGAGAGAGAGAGGGAGGGAGGGAGGGAGGGAGGGGAGGCAGACAAAGCGGCGCCGGTGCTCCCTGTATTCCAAAGTTGACTATCACGTTCAGATCGCACACCAAATTCTACAAGTTTAATGAATTTGGGCAAGCGCTTGGCTATCCGTCCGTGCAGGCAGCGAAAGCAATACAACAATGGTGTATATATCAGAGGCGCAGATCCTTCCTGGGCTCCAAACTTCACTAGCAGTAACGGGACTTTCTTTAATATTTTCTTTACTTTTACTTTATTCCTTACAGCTGGATGTTATAACTGTGCCATGGAAACACAGTAGAATTATTACAAAATACAGTGTGAAATATGGCGATAAGTAATCCGCTAAAAAAAAAATTAACGCATTTTTTAACATATTTATCGCACTTTTCTTCCCATGAGAGAAAGTCATTAAGAATCGATTTATTACGAGTCTGTGGTGATCCATTTGTCCGTTATCTGTGTCGTGCTTACCAGGCTATTGATAACCATTACCACCACTACCATCACCACTACTACCATCACTACCACTATTACCTATCACCACACTCACCACCACTACCATCACTACCACTATTACCTATCACCACACTCACCACCACTACCATCACTACCACTATTACCTATCACCACACTCACCACCACTACCATCACTACCACTATTACCTATCACCACACTCACCACCACTACCATCACTACCACTATTACCTATCACCACTCACCACCACTACCACCTACCACCACAATCACCACCACCACTACCACCTATCACCACACTCACCACCACTACCATCACTACCACTCATACCTATCACCACACTCCACCACCACCACCACCTACCACCACAATCACCACCACTACCATCATCACTACCACTATTACCTACCACCACACTCACCACCACTACCATCTACCACCACACTCACCACCACTACCATCTACCACCACACTCACCACCACTACCACCTACCACCACAATCACCACCACTACCATCAACCACCACACTCACCACCACTACCATCTACCACCACACTCACCACCACTACCATATGTCTCAACTCCCAACTACACGAAAAAACAAAAAAAAACTAAATCTTATCAACACAAATGAATGCTAAATCACACCCAGTATAAAATCTACTCCGCAACCTTTGTTTCAGACCGATACTTCTTACAAAATTCACTACAAGATAAATTAATGGCACTCTTGCGTCTCCCCCCGGAATTCATTCATAAGAAAACAAAGAAATGAATAATAAACACTCTGGGCTGAACTTACCTCAGTTTCGTTTATGTATGCAAAAGTTGACGCAGCTTTTGTTCTTCAATGAGTTTCAGATGTATTAAAATTCTACCTGTGGCGTTTATGAGTTTCTGTATATAAACGTCCTTGTGAGCCAGTCCTTACCTGACAGGGCTTGACTCTCTCTCTCTCTCTCTCTCTCTCTCTCTCTCTCTCTCTCTCTAGTGCTGGAGTCATTATAGAAAGTGATTATTAATTATAGCGATTATGAATTATAGACGAGGGTTATTAGCCACGGAGAGGATCATTAGACTGAGTGGGAGGGGAGGGGAGGGGAGAGAGATGGAAGCAAGACCTATTTCTGGTTCATTGTTTGATTCACCGGTCAAGGTAAGTAAAGGTGAGTAAAGGTGAGTCAAAATAGGTCAAGGTAGGTCAAGGTGGCGTCCGACAAGTGGTTTCTGGCTTCTTAATTGGTTGAGGGTGGCCATTGTGTGTACGAACAAGGTCAGTTTGTTATTTAGTTTTTTTAGAGAGTTTATTTGCGGAGTCATTTATAAGAGTATTATACGTCGACATTTGGTTGACGTTAGTTGAGTGACACCTTCGCTGTCTGTCTGTCTGCCTGCCTGTCTGTCTGTCTGTCTGTCTGTCTGTCCTACTTTCTCCCCGCCACCGTCTCATTCTCTCCTCACCTAATACGTAATTTCGAGAAATACGTGTCTCGAATTGTCAATCCCTCCCGCCTCTCTCCCCCTGTACTCGTCACACCCCCCCTCCTCCTCCCCCCTCACTTTCTTTCTCCTTCTCTTCTCTTCCTCTCTCCTTCCTTCCCCCATCCCTTTCCCCTCTCTCCCTACCCCCTTCCTTCCCCATCCCTTCCCCCCTCCCCTTCCCCCCCCCCTCCCTTCCCCATCCCTTCCTCCCTCCCCCCCCCTTCCCCTTCCCCCCATTCCTTCCTTCCCCTCTCTTTCCTTCCCCCACCCCCTCCTCCCCCTCCCTCCCCCTCCCCCCTCCTTCCCCCTTTCACCCACTGCAGCTCCCTGCATTACACCCTCACCTAACCCTTCCCCGGACCTCATTACACAACAACTTAACTGCCCCCACCTCACCCATTTACCTCCCTGAGAGTCTTTCCCATCTCTATCACCCTCCCTTCCTTCCCCTCACCTCCTTCCCCATCTCTTTCCTTACTATCACCGCCCCCCCCATTCCCTCTCCCTTGTCCTTCTCTCAAGCAACTCCAGTTGCTTGGAAGAGTTATTTGTGGTGTTGTGTGTGTGTGTGTGTGTGTGTGTGTGTGTGTGTGTGTGTGTGTGTGTGTGTGTGTGTGTGTGTGTGTGTGTGTGTGTGTGTGTGTGTGTGTGTGTGTGTGTGTGTGTGTGTGTGTGTGTGTGTGTGTGTGATGAAGGCCACGAGATGCCGGGTTGGGGTGACAGGACCTTTGCAGGAAAATACAGTAACTTAGGTAACACAGCTCAGATAACCTCGGCTGTAGCTCCATATATTCCGTTACACACTTAAACCATCACTCGAGGAACATTTTAACTTTCCACTAGAAATAATCTGAAATGTAGTAAAGAAAACGATAGAACCAACACCACATGATTAAGTGAATAGAAGGAGTGTCACTTGAATAATTTTGTACCAGAACCAAATCAAAACGTAAACACAAACAAAGAGAGAGAGAGAGAGAGAGAGAGAGAGAGAGAGAGAGAGAGAGAGAGAGAGAGAGAGAGAGAGAGAGAGAGAGATTAAAAAAAACAACAGCTATAATATAGATGGATAACCTACAGCTGTGTACGATTATATGGACTAGATTCACAATATCGACATTAATCTACGTCTGACATGTGTATGGAGGTTAGGTTAGGTTAAATAAAGAGAAGTGCCTAATCTTCAGGTCATTCATAATACCCTACTAGCGTGAATGTGTGTGCAATTTACTTAAGCCAAATATTTTAGGAAACACAGACGTACAATTACATGGAGTAATTATGGCCATTTCATTCATAAAAATTGGCTGGTTTAAATCACCCTCATCACAGCCTGGCAGATGAATGACGGCCCTTGAGAAAATCATTACTACGGTGTTTCGTTGTCATGGTAGTGAAGTATTAAAATTGTGAGTCGTCTTACTGAAACACTCAAACGTTGATGTTTTCTTAATGAAACAAACGTTGATGCCTTGATGTTACAACACACAAACGTTGAGGCCTCGCTGTTACAACACACAAACGTAGACGCCTCGCTGTTACAACACACAAACGTTGAGGCCTCACTGTTACAACACACAAACGTAGACGCCTCGCTGTTACAACACACAAACGTAGACGCCTCGCTGTTACAACACACATACGTTGAGGCCTCGCTGTTACAACACACATACGTAGACGCCTCGCTGTTACAACACACAAACGTAGACGCCTCGCTGTTACAACACACAAACGTTGAGGCCTCGCTGTTACAACACACAAACGTTGAGGCCTCGCTGTTACAACACACATACGTTGAGGCCTCGCTGTTACAACACACATACGTTGAGGCCTCGCTGTTACAACACTGGAACAGTAAAGTTTGTTGAGTGGTGTACAGTCCTCACGCTTCCCGAATATTGTTTCTTTTCACTTAAACTCAACTACATTTGTTGATTAAAGAGCGAGATCTGAAGTAAGATAAATGGTCCTTCAGTGCCGGCAACGAGGCTCGAGTGTCGAGACGCACTAAATTATTATTACTTCTTTCTTTTAAATGGCAAAATTATCACCAGTTTTAAGTGTAAGAATTATTACCATTCGTCCTAATTTATTGTCACATTTTGATAGTATCATTAGTTAGTTTTAGTTCGGCATTTTTTATCGAGTGAATTACTGTCATTAGAGTTTATAGGCGTGAGAGTTGAGCTGTTATACACTCCTCAGGATGTTTGTGTTCTTCACTATTCCAGGTTCTATTTGTCGTGACTCTTATCATTCAGTGGCAACACCAATTACAACGTGTATCTCTCCTTTACAGATGGCGAACTGTGTAGGTGATCGATGCCACTGGAGGAAGAGATGTTGGCAGTGGAGGAAGATAAGCATATGGTTCCTCCTGGCGATAGCGTTGACGGAGGGAGAACAGAAATTCGCCAACCAGCCGTCGCCACAGACAGCAGTGATCGGGTCGACGGTGGTGCTACCCTGCCGGATCATCAACAAGGTCGGAGTCTTACAGTGGACGAGGGACGATTTCGGCCTAGGCAACGAGAGGGAGCTGTATGCCTTCAAGCGATACACCATGATAGGCTCAGACGAGGAAGGTGAGGTGGTGATGACAATGGGAGGCTACTCTCTCTCTCTCTCTCTCGTTATTTTTCCAATTTTACTCTATCTCTGTTTCTCTACCTATCTTATTTTTCCGTTTGTGCCTTATATACGTATCGCTCTCTCTCTCTCTCTCTCCCTCTCTCCATGTATTAATTTCCCTTCCATTCTAAACAAAAGATTATCACTTCCTCACACATCAAAACACAAACTATTCAATATTCAATATTTTATAAAATCAAATTTCTCGAAAACGAAAAATATTTGTTATGCCAAACACATCAAAACAGAGTATATTCATAAGCCTTAGAGAATTTACCGCCTTATAAGACTACACAAGGCATTATAATACTCCAGGCAGCATTACAGATCCCAATAGGACACTTCACAGGCGGGCTGATAGCTGCTGCCGCCTTAATGTGCAGTAAAAAAATTTCCCACGGCAGCCAATAGTAGTAATGGGCCATTCACATTCATAGTAGGCTAATGTAGAGGGGCACGCACACACACACACACGCATTTATCGCATTATTATTATTGACACACACACACAAAACACTTTATATTTCAACACAATAACTATTAAGAGACATAAACCTCTATACTTCCCCCACATTACCGTACGTGTCAGGGAGGACACAGCCCACAGTACACGCAGCACCTAGCACAGCATATAGTATTCATAATTACATACGCCACGCACTTGTACACCCAGAAACACGCACATATAGTACACGACTCTGCGTTAGACGTGCTTTCAAGGTTTTCCTCGAATTTGGAGCTTAAAAAACACACTCTAGTTACGTGTTATTCTCTTTGGTGTGATTTAGACATTAGTTGATATTCACCTTTTCTCCTCTCATCTCCTTTTATTCCCTTCTTCTTCTTCTTCAATAGATCTCTCTCATCTAGTTACACCCCTCTTCTACCTCTCCTTCCCGTCTTTATTAGAATTCTATCATTTAGCTCCATCAGTCTTCTTCCTTCGGGCAGAGACGTCACCAGTTTCTCTCCATCTCTTGCAGGAGACTTTAGCCTACGAATCAGTCCTGTCACCTTGGAGGACGACTCCTACTTCCAGTGTCAGGTGACAGGATGGAAGGACATCCCCGGCGTGAGGTCCCAGACGGCCAAACTGACAGTATACGTGCCCCCGGAATCCCCAGAGATCACCCAGGGCCCCGTCGTCACCACTACAGCAGGGGCGGGGGTGCAGCTTACCTGTGTCTCCAGAGGGGGGAAACCTGCAGCCGAGGTAAGACGCCCATATGTGGTGAGAGAGTAATGTGTGTGTAGTGAGAGGTGTGTGTGTGTGTGTGTATGGTGAGGGAGAGTGATGTGTGTGTAGTGAGAGGTATGTGTGTGTGTGTGTGTTATGGTGAGGAGAGTGATGTGTGTGTAGTGAGGTGTGTGTGTGTGTGTGTGTGTGTGTGTGTGTATGGTGAGGGGAGAGTGATGTGTGTGTGAGTGAGGTGTGTGTGTGTGTGTGTGTGTATGGTGGGAGAGTGATGTGTGTGTGGTGAGAGGTATGTGTGTGTGTGTGTGTGTGTATGGTGAGAGTGATGTGCGTGTAGTGAGGTATGTGTGTGTGTGTGTGTGTGTGTGTGGTGAGGAGGTGATGTGTGTGTGGTGAGGTGTGTGTGTGTGTGTATGGTGAGGGGAGGTGATGTGTGTGTGTAGTGAGAGGTATGTGTGTGTGTGTGTGTGTGTGTGTGTGTGTGTGTGTGTGTGTGTGTGTGTGTGTGTGTGGTGTGAGAGTAATGTGTGTAGGGGGAGGTGTGTGTGTGTGTGTGTGTGTGTATGGTGAGAGAGTGATGTGTGTGTGGTGAGGGTATGTGTGTGTGTGTGTGTGTATGGTGAGGGAGAGTGTGTGTGTGTGAGGTGTGTGTGTGTGTGTGTGTGTGTGTGTGTGGTGGGGAGGTGATGTGTGTGTGAGGAGAGGTATGTGTGTGTGTGTGTGTGTGGTGGTGATGTGTGTGTGTGGTGAGGTGTGTGTGTGTGTGTGTGTGTGTGTGTGGTGGGGGGAGGTGATGTGTGTGTGGTGAGGGTGTGTGTGTGTGTGTGTGTGTGGTGGGGGTGTGTGTGTGGTGGGGTGTGTGTGTGTGTGTGTGTGTGTGTGGTGAGGGAGAGTGATGTGGTGTGGTGGAGTGTGTGTGTGTGTGTGTGTGTGTGTGGTGGGGAGAGTGATGTGTGTGTGGTGAGAGGTTGTGTGTGTGTATGGTGAGGGAGGTGATGTGTGTGAGTGAGAGGTATGGGTGTGTGTGTGTGTATGGTGAGGAGAGTGATGTGTGTGTAGTGAGAGGTGTGTGTGTGTGTGTGTGTGATGGTGAGGAGAATAAGGAGGCAAAGAGGTGGGAAGTTGTTTGTGAGAAGTGAGGTGTTATGAAAGCTTTTGAGGGTGAGGAGAATGGGAGTGAACCGTAAGAGGTGTTTGAGGAACCGTAGAAATTAAGAGCTGTGTGAGAGCTGTGTGAGAGGTGAGGTAATGTGCGGAGGGTATCTTGAGATGTGTTTGAGAGAGTGAACAGGGTATGTTTTTTCAGTGTGTGTGTGTGTGTGTGTGTGTGTGTGTGTGTGTGTGTCTTCCGGTTTGTTATACATTCCTGTTGTATTTCATTCCCTCTTTCATTACATTATACATAACATGCATATACCAAACCCTTTGCTGTTTTGTTGTTCCAGCCTCCGTATCTCTCACTCTCTTGTTTTCTATTTATATATCTCTCTCCTTCCTTTTAATCTCGCCTCCTCCCTTTCCCTCCTCCTTTATCCTCTCTTCTTCCTTCCTTCCTTCCTTCCTTCCGTCCTTCCTTCCTCTCCGTGTATAATTCTACTCCACCAAACCCCATTCTATCCATGCTTATCTCTCTCTCTCTCTCTCTCTCTCTCTCTCTCTCTCTTCTCTCTCTCTCTTTTTTCTCCCTAACTGGCCCTTCCATATCTCCCCTTATCTCTCCAGTGCCCCTTCTCCCTATCGTTCCTTCGTCCTCCCTATTCTCATTCTCTCCCTCTCCCTCTCTCCCTTTTTCCATGTTGCCCACTTTCACTCTCCTTGACTCTTCCTCATCTCTTACTCCCTCTTTGACTCTTAGTATCTTTCGCTGTCTCTCCCCAATTCTCCTCTCTCTCTCTCTCTCTCTCTCTCTCTCTCTCTCTCTCTCTTTCACTGACTCTCCTGACTCGCTCTCTTTCTCCCTCTCTCTTCTCACCTCTTACTGACTCTCCTGACTCGCTCTCTCTCTCTCCCTCTCTCTCTCTTCTCACCTCTCACTGACTCTCCTGACTCGCTCTCTTTCTCCCTCTCTCTTCTCACCTCTTACTGACTCACCTGACTCACTCCCTCTCTCCCCGTTAGATCCAGTGGCTGGACGGGTCAGGCAGGTGGGGTCTAGGTACTCCAGGGTGATGGAAGATGGTCACCGTGAGGTGGGCCACTTGGCGCAGGCGGGAGGGGTTTGGGCATGGGATCATAAGGCATCAGCAGGATATGAAGTTGATCAGTATAGGGGAGTTGAAAAGTCTTAGGATATTTATTTTAAAATACTATATTTATCTCTTGTAACATAATAGAACACATGTACTGTATATATTTATATTTTTTCAACATAACACGACATGATATAAACATCTTTAAGTTTTATCCTCCGTTGTTGAATAAAAGTTAACTATATACATTCCATCTCTGATACCTAAATAGGAAGATTTTTCTTTGTATTATTTTGTATCAGTTCACTGGATTCAAAGGATAACGAGTGGGATAGCTGAGTGGATACAGGGCTCGCCCTTGTTCTAAAAGTTGATTGTGTGTCCAGATCAACCTCCAAATCTACTCAGCTGTGAATGGCAGACTACCGACGCAGTTGCCAAAGTGAAGGCGGTCAAGTGCATGCCGGTCACGTTTGAACTTTGATACCTGTAAATGGAATAGTGTATTGTGTGATGGGGATAAATTATGAGTTTACCTTCTCTCTGAGGATAACACCCACGAGTTTACCTTTGTCTTGAGGATAACACCCACGAGTTTACCTTTGTCTTGAAGATAACACCCACGAGTTTACCTTTGTCTTGAGGATAACACTCACGAGTTTACCTTTGTCTTGAGGATACACCCACGAGTTTACCTTTGTCTTGAGGATAACACTCTGAGTTTACCTTTGTCTTGAGGATAACACCACGGTTTACCTTTATCTTGAGGATAACACCCACGAGTTTACCTTTGTCTTGAAGATAACACCCACGAGTTTACCTTTGTCTTGAGGATAACACTCACGAGGTTTACCTTTGTCTTGAGATAACACCACGAGTTTACCTTCTTGGGGATAACACTCACGAGTTTACCTTTGTCTTGGGGATAACACCCACGAGTTCCTTTTATCTTGGGGATAACACCCACTTTACCTTTGTCTTGAAGATACACCCACAGTTTACCTTTGTCTTGGGGATAACACTCACGAGTTTACCTTTGTCTTGAGGATAACACCCACGAGTTTACCTTTGTCTTGAGGATCTCACGGTTTTACCTTTGTCTTGAGGATAACACCCACGAATTTACCTTTGTCTTGAGGATAACACTCACGAGTTTACCTTTGTCTTGAGGATAACACCCACGAGTTTACCTTTGTCTTGAGGATAACACTCACGAGTTTACCTTACCTTAAGTTTACTTTTGAGAATGAATGTATATTAATTTAACTTTGTAAACATTTGTCTTGAGGTTAATGCTGATATGTGTGACGTAAGTGTGAGTGTCGGATAATTAGTCACTTGTACACTGCAGGTGCGGCTGGAGGTGAGCTACCCGCCGGAGGTGACCATCACACACGACCAAGACGGCTACCGAGAGCCAGACCGCCACCCTCACCTGCTCCGCCTCCGGCAACCCCTCCGTCCTCTCCTACAGGTGAGTCCTTAAAGATAGTTCTTGAGTCTCTCTTGCAGGTAATTTTTTCGTCTTTGTTATATGTTATAGGTTAGGTTAGGTTAGGTTAGAACCAAGTGAGTTGGTAGACTATACAAGCCGCACTTATGGTTCACAACTAATCAGGGGAAGATGTTTCCAAGTAGAGATAAGTCTTGTCAAGTCGGATTACCAAGTTATTAGTTGTAGGCTCACGGGTTAGACGTCACGGGGGGAGGGGGGGGTTACTATGGCCTAGTACTACTTCCAGGTAATTGTAATGTTTTATGCCTCACCAGGTGGTGGCTTTTACTTTTGTGATCAATGACGCGATTTATTTTATTGAGCTCAAAATATCTCATCCTAAGTACACCTACAATTATCACATCCTCCAATAACCCTCAATAATTATCACATCCTCCAACACATAAACAAATTATCACATCCTCCAATAATCCCAATAATTATCACATCCTCCAACACATAAACAAATTATCACATCCTCAATAATCCCCGATAATTTACCTTTACCATCCAATACGTCAACCAACAAATTACCAGATCGTGTCAGCGCCTCAACCAACACAGAGGCAGCGTATTATTGCTCGGCTCTTCATCCTGGGAGGCGGTGCTAATTATTCACCGCCCAATCCTTCCACACACCATCTTCGATATTAACGTCGTTTCCCCCCTGCCGACACATTCCCTTCCTCTTCCTCCTCTCTCACTCTTTCGCATTTTTTCCTCTTCCTCGCTTCTCTATTATTATTGTCGGTTGGTTTTCTATTGTTTTTCGTTTTCTTTTTCCTCCGATCTTTTTTATTGTCAATCTTTATTCCTTGTTTGACCTACATTTCTGCTTTACTCTGACTGTCTGTCTGTGTCTCTCTTTCTCCTCTTTTTCTCTTCATCTTATTTTCCCTTCCATCTCCCTGTCCTATTTTTTCTCCACCTTCCCTTTCACTCTTTCATCCACCTTTCCTAATCCATCCACTCGTCTCATCCTGTTCTCTCACCGCAGCAGCTGCTCTGCTCTCCCTGACCACCACGACCTGCCCTGCCAACCACACAATTACTCACATCTGAAAAAACCATAAGAGTTTACATGCAAGTTTCTTCCACTCTCCCCCACCACAGTCCAACCTCCATCCCATGCCTGACCTCTTATGCCAGGAGCCAGGTCGTTGCAGAGACCAGTTGCATGTGCTGTTCTCTGCAATATGCAATTTAATATACAAGTCGTTGTAGGATAACAGGATAACAGAGCGTTCGCCTGGGGGGTTTTGTGCCGTGTGTGTGAAAGGCGGAGTTCTTGGTCTTTCCTCTTGGTGAAGCCGGCCAGCTGCCCTAGTAGGAGGTCCATGAGTTGATGTGATACAGGGAATGTGTTTGTGTTTGATGACTGGGTTTATGTGTAATGTGTTGGTGTGTGTGTGTGTGTGTGTAGTGGATGTGTTGATATGTGTATGTGCGTATGTAGTGAATGTGTTGATGTATGTGTGTGTGTGTGTGTATAGTGGATGTGGATATGTGTATGTGTGTGTGTAGTGGATGTGTTGGTGTGTATGTGTGTGTATGAAGTGGATATGTGTGTGTGTGTGTGTGTTTAATGTATTAGTTTGTTTTAATATTTGAGGTTGCAAATATCGTGTTCGTGTGTATATATGTTTGGGTCCTGGTTTGTGTCTGTGTATAAATAAATGAGTTTGTGCATAATGTGTATGTTTGCATATTTGTGTATAATGAATGAGTTTCTGTATAATTCTGCCAGCCCTTGTATGTTTGTGTATAATAAGTGAGCTTTATTTTTTTTATACTGTGTAAATTTGTATGCAATTGTGTATAACTAGAAGTATTATATACACTCTGTGAGTTTGTCTTCCAACTTGTGTATAATTAATGTTTTATGTATAATGTGAGTGATTTGTATGTTTCTGTATATATGTGTACGCCTGTGTGTATGTCTGTATGTCAGTGCCTGTGTGTCATTCCATGCATTTTTGACAACATAATCCCCATGGGTTACTGAAGAAAATTTACCATAGTATCAGATAGTGGGAGCCTTTACACACACACACACACACACACACACACACACACACACACACACACACACACACACACTTGTTGTTTTTGAGACACAACTAACCTTCTCTCCTTTGGCTTTAAATCCAACACAACTCCCTAAATCACCTCACCTCCCACTGCTTCTCATCTTCCTCATCTCTCACCTTCTCACCCACGATAAATGTAACCTCTCTCTCACCTGAACCCTTCACCAGTGTTCAGCATGATCACCAGACTTTCTTGTGGTAATCTCTCACTTAAGCTCGTCCTTCAGATGACACCGTGACAGACAGCTGGTACAGGACCTCTTTTCTTCTCACTAGGATAGTTTATCTGTTCAGAGCCTTCTGCAGATGGCACCGAGGCAGGCAGCTGGTGCAGGACATCAAAGCCCTCTCCTCACCCCCTCTCTCTCTCTCTCTCTCCTCCTCACCCTCCCCACCCCCTCTCTCTTCCCACCCTCCAACTCTCTCTAAATATCCCTTCTCCATCATTCAAGGTAAATCACTGACCTTACCACCTCCCACAGATGGTACCGTAATGGGCAGCTGGTGCAGGACAACAACTCGACGCAGCTGGTGGTAGAAGACGTAACGAGGGACAGTAACTTGGAGGACATCACGTGTGAGGTGTCCAACGATGTGGGCTCCTCCAGGAAGATCACCAGGCTCTCCATACACTGTGAGTACAACAACAACAGTACTGTTTATTATGGTGTTATTACAACCAGCAGATTGTCGTAAATTATTCATAATTTTTTGGGGGTCATTTGTGTTAAAACTGTTTAATTGTGTTTGTGCGTTTCGCTCTCGTGTCTGTAGATTAGAACTTATTGAAGGAATAATTACATTAGGAGAGGAAAAGTGTTTTGGTTATATTGTTGACAATAACACCATGTTGAAGTATTGTGCCACAGTGAAGAATGGGTATAGTGCCACTGTGAAAATTGAGGATAGTGCGACTGGAAGATTGGGTATAATGCCACTGGAAGATTGGGTATAGTCGTTGTGTCACTGGAAGATTGTATAATGCCACTGGAAGATTGGGTATAGTCGTTGTGTCACTGGAAGATTGGGTATAATGCCACTGGAAGATTGGGTATAGTCGTTGTCACTGGAAGATTGGGTATAATGCCACTGGAAGATTGGGTATAGTCGTTGTGTCACTGGAAGATTGGGTATGTTGTTTTGGGTGGAGCCAGTGTGAGAATTTTACTGAACAATAACGGGTAATATTATTCTCACAGCATCGAGAGACTTTTTCAAACAACTTTTTATGCACCAACTCTAAAATTTTTGAAATTTTTTATATATACCTGGGAATATACTGTATATACCATCTTCTATATCATATAGTATGCATTTTATGTATAGCTATATCTATTTGTGTATAATCCCAAATTATGCATACATAGTGAGTTGTATTTAGTATTTATGTTATTCATAGGCTTCCTCACTGATGGAGTAATTATCCACGAGATTGAGTCATCAGCGTGAGTCACTTTTCATCTTAATTCGCACCCTTTGAGTCGCGACTCATTTGCATGCGAGGTTGACACAACTCGAGGTTAAGGTTCGAACCCCGAGTCCAGTTTAAACTAGCCATAAGCTGTGTGTGTTTGTAAGGGGATAGTCGTATTAATGCTTCTAATTCCAGTTCGAGGATTCGGAACTCTCCGTAGGTTTTTTTTTGCTGGATGGGATTCTGGTTCATATATTATTTCGAGATTACTAGTTCGAAGCTCTTAATCATTCTTATGTCTCGTGGGAAATTCACAATTTAGAAACCCTCTGAGACAACCCTTAGGTTAAGTTAAGTGTTCGAAACCTTGATAAACCTCTCTCTCTCACACACACACACACATACACGCAGTTTATCAGTCCCTCACGTATTTTAAAGGTCATCACAGGAACAATCATTCAAAATCGTCTCTCAGATCAATTGGACTTGTAACTCCCCAACTTTTAACGAACTAAATTTAACCAAAGACAACAAAAATCATTCAGCATCTAAGTAAAAAAAATACTACTGAGACATTCTGTACCAAATTTATCATCGAAAATCGGGAAAGGGAAAAACTAGTGTGGCTCAAAGTCTTCACTAAAGGCAACATCAAACACGCTACCTGGATATTTTTATTTGCTCACCACGCCGGGCTCAGAGGCGACGAGGCAGGTGAAAAAACCAACGGGGAATGAAGGCCAATGGAGAGGAGTAAGAATTAGACAGATGAAAGATACGAAAAAGTGAAAGAAAGGAAGTTAAGAAAGGAAGGAATTGAATGAGAGTGAAAGAAAGTCAGAGGAAGACCTTGTAGATGGCGAAATATGTAAAATAATAATAATAAATAATAATAATAATAATAATAATACACAATCAATAATAAAGGTCAACATACAGTACAAACCTGTTCAAGAATACCTTTGGTGACCCTCAAACATTATGGCAGCAAATACAATATGGAAAAGTCCATTTATCAGTTATTAAGCTTAGTGATTAAGAGGAAACCTGATATATTATTGTGTTTTGTAATGATAAGAGTATGCATATTACCTGTTATATATGTTTTGTGTTGTATATACTATTATATATTCGTTATACCTGTTAGAACATCTATATGGAAATTCCTCAACCATTATCAGGCATATATTTTTTAGTATATATATTTCCATTATAGCTGTCAGACTTTTACCTGGGCCTCAATAATACCAAGTTCTGAATCACTCCTCCGGGGAAGCCATTCAGCTCACAAACATTCAATCTTAACTGGAGAAATATTATCCAACCCGGAGTTATATAACAAGTATTAGTTTATTAATTACAATCCCCAAAGTCACTGTACTTGAATCTTTTACATAAACTCAACCTAAAGGAGAAAAATAAACCTATAAATTTGTTACACTAATTTTACTCGAGAGGAAGTTTTTGTGTTAATGACATTTTTAATCTGACCAAAGGATTTTATTTTTATTTGGAGAAAAAAATCCAGTCGAGATGTTAATCCCACTTGGCTAATGTTTACCTCTGGGAAGAAAGATTACTTAGTAATTAAATCCCCTGTAGATATAACGCTCTGGAAAGCAATAATCCCAGACAAACAAACAGACAAATAAACAAACAAATAAACAAACAAACAAACTAACACATATCCAACTTTAAGAAAAAGAAACATGCAATAAAGGTATAATTTCACGACAGAAGTTTGAGCTTAGAGGGAAAAAAGATGCCAGGGAAAGTCGAGGGAGTCAGAGTCACGGAGGGAGTTACACCACCGCCGCCACCACTACCATCACCACCATCACCACTATCACCACTATCACCACCACCCACCCCCACCATCACCACCACCATTATTACCATCACCACCACTACCACCACCACCACCACCATCACCGCCACCACCATCACCACCATCACCACCATCATCGCCGCCACCACCACTACTATCACCACTATCACCACCACCACCACCGCCACCACCACCACCACCACTACCATCACCACCACCACTTCCACCACCACCACTTCCACCACCACCCCATCACCAGCATCACCACCACCACCACCACCATCACCACCACCATCACCACCACTACATCACCACCACCACCATCACCACCCACATCACCACCACTAACATCACCACCACATCACTACTTCATCACCACCACTCACTCACCACCATCACCACCTCTATCACCACCTTATCACCACCACCACCACCACCACCACCACTACCTCACTCACCACCACACTCACACCACCACCACCACCACCACCACATCACCACCACCAGCCTCCACCTCTTAACTGAACAATTAATCCTTCAAGACACTTATGTTGTTTCCTTTGATTTTATGGCACAAGTTAGTTCTGGAGGAGAGGGAGGAGGCTGATGAGGGAGGGGTGGTGAGGGAGGAACACGTGGTAGTGGAGTAGTGAGGGGAGGCATGGTGGTGTTGGTGGAGGAGGAGAAGGGGGGTGGGATTGGGGTGGAGGGGGGGAGGTGTGGGGGGAGAGGAGGGGAGGGGTGGTGGGGGTGGGAGGGGGGGGGGTGTAGGGGTGGGAGGGGGGGAGGGGGGTGGGGTGGGAGGAGGGGGGGGAGGTGAGAGAGGGGGTGGGGGGTGGGGAGAGGGGGGGGGTGGTGGCTGGGGTGGGGGGGGGGGGTGGGGGCGTGGTGTGGAGTAGAGGGTGGGTGGGGGGGGAGAAGGGGAAGGTGGTGCTGACTAGGGGTGGAGAGGGAGGGGGAGGGAGGTGCTGGTTAGGGGTGGAGAGGGAGGGGGGGTGGTGGGCTAGGGGGTGGGAGGGGGGGGTGTGTGGGGTGGGGAGGGAGGGGGGGGGGGGGAGAGGGAGGGGAGGGGGTGGGGGGGGGGGGTGGGGGTGGGGGGGGGGTGGGTGGGGTGGAGAGGGAGGGGTAGGGGTGGTGCTGGCTAGGGGTGGAGAGGGAGGGAGGAGGGAGGGCTAGGGGTGCCTTCCCATCTCATACCTCCTTTCGTTTCTCTTTCCTTCCCCATTCCTCCTTTTCCCTAATCACCTCTCTTCCATCATCCCAACCTTTTCCAACCCATCATGTTTAATATATTACTGTTAAACTTAACCCTTGTCTCTCTCTCTCTCTCTCCCAACTCAGCCTCTTCACCTCTTCCCCCAACCCGCCTTTCACTTCTGTCCCCATTTTCCATCTTAGCCCTTGTCCCCACCATCTCTCCCCTCCTCCTAACCCTCACCTTCCTCACTCACCTCAGTGGCAAGATAATCTCCGATCGTTACCAAATTAACTAGACGTTTACTACTCCGGTCAGTATATCATCAGAGGAGAGCCTTGTAGGTGAGTTAAGCTGGTCAGAGGAGATGATCGATAAGTCGACCACCACTACCACAAGTCCTTCTCTATGTAATTATGGGTAGTGCTGCAATTAGGGATCTGCTTCAACCCCAGGTCCCCACTGGTATTAATTAGGCTATTCGCTAATGGACGGACTTACTGAAGTGCTGTTGAAGTCGATAAAAAAAGAAGGGAAGAGAAGAGAAGAAGACCAACTGAAAGCTCAACAGCAACCTCCTCCTCCTCCCCTTCCTCCTCCCCTTCTTTCCCTTCCTCCCTTATCTTCCCCTCCTCCCTATCTTCCCCCCTCTCCTCCCTATCTCCCCCAAAAAAAAATAGGGAGCAGCGGGATGCAAGCAGTATAATAGAGGTGAAAGAGGTGTCAAGGAGGAGGAGGAGGAGGTGTCAAGACAGTCAGGAGGAAGAGGTGTCGAGGAGGAGGAGGAGGTCAGTCAGTCAGTGAGAAGTAGTAAAAGAAAGAGGAGGCAAACAGGGATAGGAAAATGAGGAGGAGGAAGAGGAGGTATCAGGAAGAAGCAGTAGGAAGAGATCTCAGGCAAGAGACGTTGTGTACCTAGAAAAGCCTTAAGCAACACACGGGAGATGAGGGGGAAAATACACAAAGTAAAACATAATAAAACAAGAAAATCAGCAATAAAGATATAATAGAGAAGGAAATATATAAAGGAAAAACAGGGAAGAGGAAAAACTGGAATGGCTTGATCTCAGACACGAGAAAAATATACAAAACAAGACTTAGGAGAAATGATGTGTGTGTGTGTGTGTGTGTGTGTGTGTGTGTGTGTGTGTGTGTGTGTGTGTGTGTGTGTGTGTGTGTGTGTGTGTGTGTGTGTGT